TATGTTATATTATCCTCAATCCTATTTTCTCTTAACGTACTAAAAGAAAAACTTATTTCGGTATGTTTGATTTTGTGGGATTTAAAAATATTTTAAACAATTTTGGAAAGAAAATATCTTAAATTGTAGATAATTATTGCCAAATTGTAGCATTATTGTGAAAAATAAAGTGAATCTAACCAACCTTTTTTTTTTTTTTTTAACAATTATCTCTAACAGATGAGAGTATAATTAAAAGGCTAGATTATAGGAAATTTGTTACAATATAATGTACATATAGCACCAAAATTATGACAAAAAAAAAAAGTTTAATCAAATCACTAAAAGGTATAGATGTTTGATATAAAAAATTCAAAACTGAGGCGCCTATATCAAAAGATCCCTAAAAAAACATAATTTTCAAGAAGGCGGGAAAACTCCCACCAAATTCTTAACCAACACAAATCAAGTTTGTTGGCTAATGACACACCCTGACTCGGAATGTCCACTAGGACTCCGAATTGAGTTGTGTTGGCCGACACTTGGAAAGTGACAAAGCCATAAGGTATAGTGATGTGAAAAATGTGAATAAATTTAAACCTAAAAGTACCTAAAGACAAGTGTGTGCTATGAGTGAGAATGAACCCATTTCACACGTGACGTCAAAGCATAAGTAAAGTACAGTAGTGTTGGTAAGGATCATACCTTCAGAGGTAACCACCTATACTGAGATTTGCCAAGAATCCTCGTCGATATGAACCTTCAACAGCTAAAACCTAGAGAGGCGCAAAAACAAGGGTGAGTGAGCCTGAAAATAAAGTTTTTAATAAAAACCTTTTGAAAATGTTATAACCCCTCGCTGTAAAACCCGTATAATTTTCTAGAAAATAATAATACATACGTATATAGAAATCTTGCTCGAGAGTAGTGAAAACCGAGTATATGCCATGTCAAGTATCTTAGCAATAAAATAAGTAAGCCAAGTGAAATAAATCAATGTAAAATGATATGCCAGTCGAAGTCACCTAACGTGACCTGTACAGCTGAACCTATAACTCATTAGCCAATTCCTGCACACGAGTCAAAACCACCTAATGTGGTCTGTACAATAGGATTAGGTGTAAATAAGTACGCTCAAGTGCTACGATCACGTAAAGGCTGCGTGAATAATCACGGGTCACTTACGAGTTAAAACCACCTAATGTGGTCTGTACGATAGAGCTGTGCACCAAACTTGGATCCAAGGTGAGCGTGCGGTGCGGGAGGTGAACATCACGTGAAGGATTGTGCCCTGGCCACGTTAACACCAGGGTGCAGGATAATGAGCTCTACATAACCAATGCAACCACTAACATCATACAGTATTCACCTGACACTTACCTAGCCTCCACAGCGTCATACAATAATATGCATATACATACCAATGGATATAATAAAATGAAATGCAAGCATGACATGGCATTTAAAAGAATATGCTCATTTCAAAACAGTTTCTTGGAAAATGTAAAGCATATATACGTGTATATATATATATAGAAAACCAAAAGCCTACTCACCTGGAGTCCGCGCTACAACTCCCTAGCACAAACATCAAGTCGTCACGAACGATCGGCGCATAGATCAATTATCAAATCATGTCTTAGAATTCTTATCAATATAACATATAAATTACATATCCCAATCGGGAAGATCCGTAAGTCGGATTCCCGATCCATAAGTTTCTAATATTCTCAAATATTACGTATTATAAAGTATCAAAGTTTGGTGACGAATCAACGGTCGGATCATCGATTGCTATAATAATCAAGTGGCGAACCTTAATGGAACTAAGTTCAAACGATGGAAATTCACCAATTAGACTTCACCAATGGAATCAAGGTATTCAAATTTAGCCCTAGGAATGTCAGGGGACATCTCGGCCCCCCCGTTGCCGCAAGTGGCGGTCAACCACCCCGACTCGCCGGAAAATTCAACTATTTCTAAAAATTCTCAAACTTCACAAAAATGAATATCTTAGTGAATAGAGCAACCTCCATACCTGTGACTAAGGCCAATTTGGCCGGGAAATGTCCCAATTTCATCCAAACCCACTGGAAACCCTTAAAATTGGTTAGTTGTTGATTCGTCTCCAAACAAACTCCGACGCCTCCTCCAAGGCTTGGGCCTTGCTCCTAAGATTGAGGGGAGTCCATTGGTAGTGGTGGTTGATGGAGTTAGATTCATGATCATTGAATTTTTGCCATGCACCCCCGAAACCCATAGGTTCCATTCTTCTCGAAATCAAGGCTAAATCTAGTGAAATTTGATTGGAAATGGAAGATGGGAGGTCATGGAAGGTTTCTTAGGTGGTGGGTAGCGACGATTTGACGGAAAAACCGACGGAAATTGGTGGAAAAGATGGTGGAACCCAGTCGAGTCGCGGGTCAATGGGGAACCCAGCGAGTTCCTCTCCTTTTCCCTTTCTCTCATTTGTCCTCCTTTCCTTTTTTCCCATTGGTTCTCCTCATTTTCTCCTTTCCCCATTGGTCCCGTTCCTCCCTCCTTTCTCTCCTTTATCTTCCATCTCCACCGACCATCTTTCTTTCTTTTAATCTGGGCCACACACGTGGTTCCACCAGATTTTGCTCCAAAAATCTGGAGCATTCTAGAAAATAACTAACTTACTAAAATGCCCCTAACTTTAAACATTAATATCTTCTTCGTTATAGCTCCAAATCACAATCTGTTTGCGCCCACGCATCCGTAATGATGAGTACTACGGGAAAACACCAAGAAAATGAACCTTACGTGACATGACACAGCAGTCAACAAAAGTCAACACTTTGTCTCTAAGGGCATTTTTGAAATTTCACATTATAAAACCGTAATAATTGGGGATGAGTCATTACAGCTAACAACTTCTTCGCCGACAAAATATTTTGTTGGCTATAACCTTAAGTCATTGGGAGAAGCCCTTGCCAAAACCTTAACCTTGACAAACCAAAAAATTTGTCAGGTAAAAACTTTTTTATCGACAAAATAAATTTTGTGGGCTCAAAATTCGTCGGCAAAATTAGATTTTCTAGTAGTGTTAAGAAAGAGCGCCTAGACCGTATAAGCATCCACCTAGCCCGCCTAGGTGCCAGCCTAGCCCGCTTGAACCCTCCTAGACTGCCTAAACTTGTTGAATACTTGGATGAACAGTCATTATATGCTTGTTCCCTATGTTATCAATATGCTTTGGTACTTATAATTTATATATCATTTTATTTTGCAATTTATGTATTCCAACACAATTACTTATTTATATGATCTATAATAAAGTTACTTATCCACCTAGTCCATCTATGCGCCCGTCTAGACCTTGCCTAGCCGCCTAGGCCCTAGCCTGTCTGTAACATCCCACATCACCCAGGGGAGTGATCCTTAAATGTATGTTCCCATCCCTACTTAGCACGAGGCCTTTTGGGAGCTCACTGACTTCGAGTTCCTTGGGAACTCCGAAGGTAAGCGAGAAGGGGGCTAGAGCAATCCCATGATGGGTGACCCACTGGGAAGTTGGTCGTGAGTTCCCAAAAACAAAACTGTGAGGGAATGGTAAGCCCAAAGCTGACAATATCGTGCTACGGTGGTGGAGCGGGTCCGGGATGTGATCCGCCCGGGCCGGGATGTGACAAATTGGTATCAGAGCCTAACCCTGGCCGCGTATGTGCCAACGAGGACGTCGGGCCCCTAAGGGGGTGGATTGTAACATCCCACATCGCCCAAGGGAGTGATCCTTAAATGTATATTCCCATCCCTACCTAGCACGAGGCATTTTGGGAGCTCACTGGCTTCGGGTTCCGTTGGAACTCCGAAGTTAAGCGAAAAGGGGATTAAAGCACTCCCATGATGCTCGTGAGTTCCCAAAAACAAAACCGTGAGGGAATGGTAAGCCCAAAGCGGACAATATCGTGCTACGGTGGTGGAGCGGGCCCGGGAAGTGATCCGCCCCGGACCGGGATGTGACAATTGGTATCAGAGCCTAACCCTGGCCGTGGTGTGCCGACGAGGATGTCGGGCCCCTAAGGGGGGTGGATTGTAACATCCCACATCGCCCAAGGGAGTGATCCTTAAATGTATATTCCCATCCCTACTTAGCACGAGGCCTTTTGGGAGCTCACTGGCTTCAGGTTCCATGGGAACTCCGAAGTTAAGCGAGAAGGGGGCTAGAGCAATTTCATGATGGGTGACCCACTAGGAAGTTGCTCGTGAGTTCCCAAAAACAAAACCGTGAGGGAATGGTAAGCCCAAAGCGGACAATATCGTGCTACGGTAGTGGAGTCAGGCCCAAGAAGTGGTCTCGCCCGGGCCGGAATGTGACACTGTCACCCGACTAGCGCTTTGCGTCTTTAGAACCTTGCTTGTACATATTAACAGAGAGTATTGTACATATCAGCATACATGTGTGTTATATTCCTATCTTGTACATGTCAGCTAGGTACTTATCTTAGTCACGAAGATTGACAGCTGCTAAATAGTTGCACATCTGTGTAATTTGTAACTACTCATTTTACTGAAGAATACATCAGCTTGTTCTACAAGATTCTCTCTTTCTTTTCTCTGCTTCCTTTCATTTTCTTCAGTTCTCCATTTTCTTCGATTTTCACGATAACACATGTGTGTGATTTCACCGTAGTTACAATATTGGATTGTGACAGGAAAAACTTAAAAAACAATTGGAGAGTTACTGCCCAAAAAAAAGAACAACAACAACAACAAAAGGAATACTATAAATCTTAATCCCCAAAATTGGAAGTTGAAGCACTGGAGCCAGAATGTTCACATATACTAATTAGATCCATCACCGTGACCTAGCGTTTTTGTTTGATTACTGATTTTTTTTTTCTTTCCATTTTAATACATTCGATATTTCTCTTCTAAACTAGGCTAAGAGAATTGAACTCAGAACGTAGTGGATTGGACAATAAGAACACACACACCAGAGTAATCCACTACTTGGAAACAAAATCGTGCGCTTTTGCTGGGAAATTGAAGACTGACTATGTGGTTTGTTGTTGTTGCACCACAAAGATTGAAGATCTGCACCAGAAGTCGTCCGAGGCAAGCATGTCCCCAATAATACCAAGCTCTGGGAATTCACTCCATTCATCAAGCCCTGAAGTTTGAGGACTTTCCCAATGTTTTCTTCTTCCAACAACGAAAAGGTCGTATTCGTTCAAAATACTCCGAAGTATTGACACCGTTTCGGGTCCATTTTTTGCAATCTTCTCTACATAAAATGCTGATCCGCAAGCATGAACATAGCCTTCCCTATACTCTCTTAAGCTCTGCAAATCAACTATCCTATCCCAGTTAGTGGCCTCACAGTCTCTCGAGGTTGTGAGATAAAAGACGGTCAGGCTGATGCTTGGATCCGCTGCCATCCTTAGTGTTAAGGCTAATGCCTCCCTATCGTCTTCTCCTCCCAAGAAGATCAAGGCGACTTTGTATTGTACTGCTTCAGATGATGAGTTTTTTTCCAGTGCTAATTGTCTTAGAGGTCCACGGTTGATAAGAATCCCAACAGAACATGGTGCTCTTTCGAGAACACTGATATTTAAGGACCTTATAGCCCTATCGTCGGACTTGATGGAGCCATCAAGAGTCCAGTGTCGATGGAAGGGGAGTATTATGAGAGACGTGGCTCGGTCAAGGGCAAGGGTGCATGTATCCTCATGCATTGATTTGGCTGGAGAAATGGCTGTGAAAGGTTGTACGGTCACTGCTTCACTGAAGTCCCGCTCGAACTGAAGGAAAGAAAGAAGCATGTCCTCCGAGTACGAGCAATTGGAGAGTGTCTTGGTTTGCATTCTGTGGGAAATGAAGATAGGGGCAGCTTGGCCAAACATCTCAATGAGGTGAAGGACATAAAGGGAAATGGGGCTCTCTTTAGTTGGACAGCAGGCATCCAAAAAATTGATGACGGCTGAAATGTTGTTTTGCTTGTGAATGCATGCAAGTATGCGGAGCTCTGAGTTGGGTTTCAAACACGCTACGTTTCTTTGCTCATATCCTCCATACTTCTTTGAGGATATGTTGAAGTGTTTCAAAAGCAATGACACAACGCATGCGATCATTAGGATACCAAGTACGTTAATGGCATAAATCTCTTCATTCAAAGGCTGCATACAAGCAAGTAGGCAATATAAGATGATATACCAAGTACATTGCACATTATAGAAAGCAAATAGGCAATATAAGATGATATATAAATGAGCGCTGCTATTTGGACCATATTGCTGACTACCTCTTTAATTAGTGTTTAAGGTGAGTCGTGCATGTATTGGAGAGATAATTAGCAATGTGGTCGATAAATGTGGTATAAATATGTAGCAATATTGTTCTAGACTTAGATAGCTAGACAGACAGACAGACAGACAGACAAAGAGATAGATAGATAGATACCATATCTTTGGTGACGGTGCTCAAGGAGCCCAAGTCCACGACACCTTTGCAGCACATTATGAGAGCGAGTCCCAAAGCATCCATTAGAGGCATGTCACAGTAAAGTGCAGTTAATAAACTGCCTCCAAATTTGGAGAGAGTAGACACAATGAGGAGGACAAGACTAGGAATTGCAAATTTTCCTTTAAACTTGATGTCTTTGGGATTCATGAGCCACACATTGGAGGTTACAAAGAGTGGAAGAAGAATGTCGGACACCATGAAATCGTAGCACTTGACGAGAGAGGAGCCGAGCGGGGGTCCTTCCGGGACAGCTAAGCCCAAAACGAAAGGGCCAAAGAAAAGATATTGATTAAAATAGAACGAAAATAGGGCTGAGCATAAGACCCCAATCAAGATGATAAGAAGGTAGCCGTTGTGAACAGGCTGGCCTTTGGGCGTCTGTCTGATGATCCAATACATAGCAGGGCGTGCCCCAAAGTAAACAACAAGGATATAACCGAGCACGGCAATTGTGTTGCGAAAAAATCCGCCCTCCTTTCCAGTGCTCATCACCAGTTTGGTAACAGTTCGAAGAGACAAACCCAAAATGTCAGACACAATAGACGAGGAGAGTGCTAAGCGGCCAAGTTCCGAAGTGAGGAGTTTGAGGTCCCCGAGGAGGCAGGCAATGACGGTAAATGAAGTCTGCGCGTTTGTGACTACGGCTAATGCAAGGGCCTGTAAGTCATTTTGCTCTAACTCCCAGTTAAGAAAAACACCTCGGGTTCCAAGAGTGAACAGACCGATGCATAAAGGCACTAGCAAGGAGCCAGCCCCGGTGTACAAGGCCTTCCTCCCTGTTCTAAGTACAATGCCGATGTCCATTTTCACTCCCATCAGAAACAAAAACATGCAGTAACCCAACACCGTTAACGTCCCCATCACGTCCTGACTCACAATGTCGTACATGACTTTTTCGTATCCAGGCCATATACTCCCCAACATCCCTGGACCGAGGATTATACCTGCCTGCACAAACATATACACGTACACGTACGTACCATTAATATAACAAAACCATGCATATTGATAATCATGACCTCTTCGAACAAATTGGAGGCTCGTATGTATTATTACTTACAATTAATAGTTAATCAATTAGACGACGTACGTACGTACGTGCAATAGCATATTGGATAATTATATATAAAATTAAATTAGAAGAAACTTTAACTATGATAAAGTTAAATTTGAAATGCTTAGAATTAAACAAAGAGAATAAATGATCAAACGAGAATGTAGGATGATGATATGTCTACTTACCAGCATCTGAGTGACAAAGATGGGGATTCCAAAGCACCTAAGAGCGAGATGAAGGAACTGGGTGAGGAAAAAAGCCAAAGCTATTTGCTCTTCGAGGACTGACAACGTAGCACTTGAGAGTTTTTTGACGCTCAATGGACGAGAAGCAGAAAAGGGTGATTCATCATCTACCTTAGAATTTCTCCAATAACCGCTTGAATGAATGTTGGGAGGGAGCGAGATGCAAACAAGGGCCTGATGGTCCCGCGTTACGTTTAACGCCAACAAATCTTCAAGAGACTTCATGATTCAGCAATTTGTATCTTTCTATACCTCTCTCTATACACACAGAAGCGAAAGTACGGTGGACAGATTTCAGAGAAAGATCAAATTATGCCTAAACCCTAATCTACGTACATATCAATTATGGAGATCTATCAAGCGAGCTAGGGATGGATCGAATTGGTTCAAAAAATTAATTTATGAATCAAATGATGGTATGGTAATTAACAAGCATCTATGGCACTCCAAGTAGTCATAATTTATATACAAAGTTATATGTTAAACGGTAGCACGCAGCAATGACGAATAACTAGCTAGTGTTGCCGCGTTGGTTTGTTTTCATCACTAGTTAGCTTTAATCTTGTTAATTGGTATTAACATCCTCCGATATGTATGTAAGGCTGTAAGAATCATGAAGGATTTCAACAAATGATAACCACACATGCTGTTGCAAGCAACAAGTGCTATATAGGTTTATATAAAAAGAATAAACAATAAATAAATAACAAGAAGTGCCATCTACGTACGTCTACTCATATTATTTAAATTCTTGATAATATGGATTAATTAGTTATTCCCTTTATTAATATCTTGTAGCTCCTGAGGTTAATGTTTGTTATATATATTCTAGAATTTTATTTTTAAGAAAATATCTTCTAGACTCTAGGGATTTTTCTGTTTGTTTTAAAGAGTTTGGTCTGAAGCATCGACTTATTTGGTTGTTGGTTACTACGATTTGACAATCTTACTAGTGTGGTGTTTGCAACGAGAGTAATATGAGACCTGATTCTCTCTGATGAGTTACCTCTTCTAATGTTTCGTTCTCTTATTTCTCCCTTCCTAATTTGCTAAAAACTATCCATGAACTTAAGAAAGTTCAAATTATATAATTCTATATACTAATAAGCAATACTATAACTTGATGATTTTCTTTGGGATTAAAAAAATAAAATAAAATAAAAAATAAAAAAATAAAAAAATAAAAAACTTGATGATTTTCATTGATATCAATGTCATCCACAACGATGGAGAATAAATATAAAAGAGTGCTTCACGGAAATTATTGATACATTCCAACTTAAAATGTTCACGTGTACATTCACATCTAGATGTGATGGTCGACACCAAAAAAGATAATGAAACTATAATGTGTAGTTGATATATAAAGTGCGAATAAATGAAACTTGAATTAAATAAAACAAGAGTGTGCAAGTCAGCAGGTGGAACCGTTATTACAGAATAACAATGTTAGAGCATACGTGCAGTAAAATAGAAGCACTTGCATCCTCTAAAGAATAGATATTATTATAGAAGATAAAGTTTGCCAACTTTGACAGAAGTACATGTCAGCTAAGGCTAAGATTCCTCATCCTCAAAAGCTCAACCTAGGTCCTAGAAGGGTGAAAAATAAAGATCTGGATTGTCTACCCTCTCCATCTCATACTCTTTCCATTCCCTCTTATTTTTGTGGTCACGGTTAAGTCACGTCAACATTTTATATTTTTATTGTTTTTTGTCTTATTATTTCTATAAAAAAAATCAATATAAAATGTTGATGTGACTTAATCGTGACTACAGAAATAGAAGAGGATGGGAAGGGTATGGGATGGGAAGGGCAGACAATCCAGATCAAAGAAATAGAGGTGAGCAGGCCTTTAAAATTAAAGTTTTGTAAAATCGTCATTTTATGAAAGTTGTAACCCTTCACTGTAAAACAAGTATAGTTTTCAACATAAATTACTACTAAGGTATACTGTATAGTACCCAACAAATATAGTATATCAAGGATACGGGGTACGTATACAACATTTATAATAAAGTAAGGAATGGTCATTAAACTACGTAAGCACACAGGTTATGCAAAAAGTAGCTACATTAACAGGTCGGCTGTAAATTTACATTCTATTACTACAATCACATGAAGTTAGCACTAAGCACTGCATACGAGTCCCTACTTGCCTAATGCATTAGCATTTACTTTGGATCTAAAGTGAATGTAAACGGTGCATGTGAACATATACGTGAAGTTGGTCCTTGGCCCGGACAGTACCACCAAAAGTGACATTGTTTGTTGAATCTATTATTTGGACAAGATGCGCATTTTAAGAAACTAATTTCAACAATTCAACTGTCAAACTTGTTTGTATGAATTCCGAAATAGCATATGCCAAAAATCACAAAAAAAAAAAAAAAAAAAAAAACAAACAAACAAACAAACAAACAAACATTCAAGGATTAGGCAAGGGAATGAAATTCTTAGACGGCTACAAACGAAAAATCACAATTAACAGTTATATGACCACTGATATTGATGATTTTTCTGTAAGACGGTAATTGAGAGCAAATCACATACGGAATTGATCTGATCATCAGATTCGATGAACTTTAGAGTGTTTAAAATTAGGCTTATTTTTAGCTACACCCCCTGGAATTGGATTTTAATCTCACTTTACTCCCTATAACTCAAAAGTCACCACTTCACTCCCTGAAACTCAAAGTTCGCTCGACTTTGTCTTCTTGATTTTGATCCCATTTTGCCTCATGAAACTTGAAGGTCGTCTCTATAAAACTCAAAATTTGGTCCACGTTGCCTTAAATCTTTAATTTCTTATGTGGATTTGATTTGGGACCATTAGGCTACTCAATTTTTTTTTTCATCTCTTCAATTTCTTTTAAACTTAATATTCTCTGTTTGTTGAATGTTAATGCATAAAAGAAATTTATAATCAAGTTTATTGCACACGTGACATAGTCTTATTAGGTGTTGAGTCCCACGTATATTTTAGGAGGCGACCTATAAGATCCAAGGAGAAGAGAGAGTATACAAGTCAAAGTTCAACGAACTTTGAAGAATAAAGTGGTGACTTTTGAGTCACAGGGTCCAAAGTAAGATCAAAATAAAGTTTCAGGAGGCGTAACTAAAAATAAGCCTTGAAATTAAATTAGAAAAGTAAGGGGATAAACAAACTTTTTACATTTGCCCGACGAATTAGGTACAAGTCATTGGGTAAACATATCGTGGAGCAACACTCCTAAAATTTGTCAGGCCAACCTAAAAATTTTTGTCAGAAAAATTTGCCACTAGGATAAAAGGTTGCCTGACGAAGGACAATGTGGGGACGGGGTGGATGTACGGTAGTGGGCTGTGGGGGACGGTGTGGGGTGGTGGACGAAGGACGGGGTGGGTGGTTACAAGGGTGGGTTTAGGGGGTTTAGGAGGATGGGGATGGTGGGCTTATGTGGTTTGTGAAAATAGAGAATATTATTATTTTTGTGAATATTTGGAGGATTTGTAAATTTGTAAATATTTATGAATATTTGTAGGATTTGTGAGTTTGTGAATTTGTGAATATTTATGAATATTGGTAGGATTTGTGAATATATAAGATTGTGCATATTTTGTGACTTATGTGAATATTGTGATTTTTGTGAAAATAGAGAGTAAGTAATATGGTGAACATAGTGAATATTGTGATTTTTGTGAAAATAGTGAATATTGTGGAAATAGGGAATAGGTAATATTGTGAAAATAGTAGGAAAGAAATTAAATCTTTGGGAAAGAATTTAAAATTTTAGAAAAGAAATTAAATTTGTAGAAAAGAATTTGTACAAAGAAATTAATTTGTAGAAATTATTGTATTTTATTTTACACAGATGTCATCGCAGTTGATCACTATTGGCCACTGATCTGCCTCTGCTTAGGGTTCAAACGGGTACCCAGCACCACCCAAGTGATCATTATCGAGTTGATGGTCGGGCTCAGTACTTCTGGTGCATCAAAGATGGTGACCTGCTCTGGCAGACGTCCTCAAAGCTGAAGACGACATATCTTTGTGGCAGCAAGCAAGGGTAACCGGGAAGCGAAGCCGTACCTTCATCACTATGGTTCTCAACCCATTTCTTACTAGGTTAAGAAACAACGTGCAAAGGGTTTGCATTTCCCATGAAGGGGAGGCTTGAGGATATGCATGCCAGTAATGGCAACTAGGTCGTTGATGACATTTATGTAAGTATTCTGTTTTACATTTTAAATTCAAATTTTATTACACTAAAAAGTATTTAAATTATGATAGATAATCTTAATTTTATTTTTTTTGTAAGCTTTTATGTTGTAGAAGAAGGACGAGTACCTCACCAACCTTTCTTCTGCAACAACCAAACATGTCAATGGAAAAGCTGATACTTGATGCTAAGGTGTCTTTATAGTTACTGATGGACGAGGTTGGTCGACAGAAAGGAGAAGAATTTTGCAGCTTAGGAGCAAGTCCGGTTCTGGACCTCGAGGGGACTTTTTCTTCATCTAGCTCTCCTTCTCCAACCGGGACATCTTTTAGGTTGCAGCAGTTGGTGATAGAGCTAGTGTGCCAAAGAGAAAAAGTTGTGCCTCAAAGAGAAGAAGTTTTGTTGCCTTATCTGGCTACCACACAGCCTAGAGTTGACATCTAACTAAACCCACTCAGTCGATTCTTAGGACCCCATTGCTTAAAGCTGTCAGTAGCCAACTTTCCTTTTGGTGCTCAGGAGGCGCTTTATGGGAAAACGCTCGGCTTGACAACTAATAAGATATTGGGAGGTCATAGGCTCCCTAAAGCACTTGGTTTTGCCTTTCCTTTGGGTCGCGTTTGGTACGCGGGACGGGACGGAACAGAGTGGGACGAGGCGTTCCGTCCCGCGTTTGGTGCGCCTAAAATGAGTGGAATGCGCTGTTCCACGGAACAGATTTTGGATGATTTTTTGTTCCACACCCCCACCCTGGAACGTGTTGTTCCACGTCTGTGGGACAGAAATTTCCAATATTTTTAGACAAAAATGCCCTTGGTCTTTTTCAAAATTTACAACTTCAAAATCAGTTTACAAACCCTAAAAACAAAATCTCTTCTTCTCAGCCGTTTCTCTTCACCTCTGCATCCTTTTCCCCTTCGCAACACCTTCCTGCTCATCTTCTTCTGTGCAGCCTCGCAACCTTCCTCCTCGTCCCCTTCGCAACCTTCCTCCTCGTCCTCTTCCGTGTAGCAGCTCTGCGA